AATGCTCAAATCAGTTTTGGAATATTTTGGTGGAAAAATGCATTCAAAGAATATTTGAGGTAATCAAGAAAATCAGTCTTAACAAGCTCTGAGGAATGCTGTTTTTGAAGGCCAAAGACATACGTTTGAGTCCTAACTAAAGTTTACTAAGTTGGGTGGCAGTGACTATTAGTACTGTTGTTAATTTCCTCATCTGTAATAGCTGTAAGTAGCTTTAAGTACCATGGACTCTCACAACCATCTCCAAAGATAAGAAAATATGTCCCTTTTGGATATAAATTCTCCTCTGGACAATTCTCCAGAAGTCTCCCAACAGGCTTAATCTCATGTGTCACTGCTCAGAATTGTATCACGTGCCTTCTTTAAGCAATCACTCTCAAAAGGAATGGAATTATGATGGTTGGCTTACTAATCAAGATTTACAACCATATGGCCAACCAACATCTAAAAGAAGTGAAAGAAAAGGGAGACGAGACAGCTACTGAATAGGCAACTAAAGTGTCTTCTACATGGGAAATAGCTACACACTAAAAAGCTATTTAACTTAACTGAGACAATACATGTGAAAGTAATCCACACCTCAATTATTATATAACATCATATTTCAATTTCTAATCCTTAAACACCATTATTCAGTATAGTTACCACTTATACGAGGGTACTTCAAAAAGTGTGAAAAAATAGAATTAAGACATAGTAAGACTCTTTCTGTGAACTTTTTAAAGACCTCTTGTATCTACCAGCTAAATTTACTATACTTGGTTGCAAAAGACATTAGACATTAAAAAAAGAAACACTGCACATTTGTTGCAGAGATATTATGATATACAAATAAAGATAACAAGATGTTTGGGCCCCGCCCTGTGGCTCACTCGGGAGAGTGCGGCGCTGGTACTGCTGAAGCCGCGGGTTCAGATCCCACATAGGGATGGCTGGTGTGCTCACTGGCTGAGCGTGGTGCAGACCACACTGTGTTGAGGGTTGCAATCCCCTTACCGGTCAAAAAAAAGATAACAAGATGTTAAAGTCTCCCCAAATTCTACCAACCAGAGAAAAAAACTGTTAACATTTAAATATATACCTCCCTTCAGAATTTTCTACATGCTAAGTGCATTAAATATATTTAAACAGAAATACTATACATTCTATACTACAACCAGCTTTTTTGTGAAAATTAATTTACCAATACAGTATTTACATAGATTGACATGACACTTTTTACTGAACTCACTAAGATGTCCTTTTACCTCAGCCCAAGATTTATTCACAAATGGGTATAAGCCTTATTTCTCTATCATTGACTACTGAATTCCTCTTCAAGATTCAGCCACATTCTTTGATATCCACTGCCATGATTATTAGGCTATTTTTCACTAAAGGACATAATGAAGAGTCTGTTCAGGGAGAATAAGGGTATTCTTAGAAATCCAGCTTAATATATAGTTTCAAGAACAAATTCTATTTTTTTTTTTTTTTTTTTGGCAGCTAGCTAGTACAGGGATCCAAACCCTTGATCATTGTGTTATAACACTGCGCTCTAACCAACTGAGCTCACAGGCCAGCCGGCTCTGCCCTTTTTTTAAATTTAAAAAAATTTTAAAGAATGAACTGCGTAAAATTTATAGTACATCCCATAATGCTTTTCTTTAGCATCCAGTGAGAACCATCCAAATGGTCTTCATGTGTATGGCTGGGGTAGAGAAACTACAAACAGATATCAGATATTAATTTTGCCACTGTCTCTCCTTGGATTTAATTTAAATGCTAAGGTGCAAAATCCAAATTAGCTTTTCCTTTTACCCTGGATTTAGCCAACTCCTTATCCACCACACTTCCACACTTCCAAATACCGCTTTTGCTATAGTAGCTCATAAATCTATATTAGTTCCAGTAATACCTAAGAACTCCCTATATTTTCCATGAATCTCCATATACCTGAGCTTTTTCCTTAGTATTATCAGCCTTCCCACCTAAACAGAACAAATGCTAACGTTTCATCGTTTGAATATTACTGGCTGAAAATAAAAATTTGAGGCAGTTTCTACAGTCCTTAGAAAGCAGGTGGGGTTAGATTTGTCTACATAAGACAAAAACTACAAAAAGGCAAATCAAAGGTGGAACTGCTCATATGATTAGAAAAATTGCTTGATACTTCTCAAAATTCAAAATCTTTAGTAAATTGTTAGTGAAAAATAATCCAAATACTCATATTGAACACTGGTTGGGAAGTAGGGAAAAAGAATCCTCTTCCTCTTCTGGTAGGAGTGTAAACTGGCACAGTCATCTGGAGAGTAGCACGTACTTAAGTTGAAGTTAAATGTGCATGTACTTAACAACTTGGGGAGGCTCCCCTATGTAGAGATCCTAGAGGAACTCTTACCACAGTGTATTAGTTATCTATTGCTATGATACAAATTATTCAAAACTGAGTGGTTTAAGACAATAATAAACATTTATTATCTCATAGTTTTTCTGTCTCAAGAATTCAGAGTGGCTCAGGTGGGTATTTCTGGCTCAGAGTCTCTCATGAAGTTGAAGTCAAGATGTTGGCTAGGGCTGCAGTCATCTTAATGTTTAACTTAATGTTCCACTTCTAAGATTCCTCAGTCACATGACTGGCAAATTGGTGCTAGCTACTGGCTGCTCCATAGGGCTGTTAATGTGTCCTCACAACACAGTAGTTGGCTTTACCCAGAGCAAGTGATCTAAAAGAACAAGGTAGAAGCAGCAATGTATTTTATGGCTTAGTTTGGGAATTCACACACCATCACTCTGCCACATTCTGTTGGTCACACAGACTAACCCTGATATGATGTGGGAAGAGATTATATAAGGGCATGAATACCAGAAGGCAAGGAAAGCATCACTGGGAGCTGTCTTGGAAACTGGCTTCCATACACAGGTCTGCGTATTAGAACATTCACTGTAGGGCTGGCTGGTTAGCTCAACTGGTTACAGCATGGTGCTGATAATACCAAGGTCAAAGGTTTGGATCCCTGTACCAGCCAGCCACTGGAAAAAAAAAAAAGATTATTCACTGTAGTATTTGCAGTGATAAGGGGTTGCAGGCACCTGAGATTTTCATTCTTAGAGAAATTTATAGGTAAAATGTTGTACATGCCTGTGATAGAATACCTTGCAGCAATCAAAAATAATGAACTAGATTTACATATTCTTTTTTCAACTAGAAGAAACAGAATTAAACAGTAAGATTCACAGCATAATGCAATTGATGTAAGTTTAAAAACTACTGTGTGTATACATTTTTCATGTTATATATTTTTAAAGATACACATATTGCTAAATATACAAAAGGTTAACTGGAAAGACATATTAAAAGTGATTGTATATGGGGGAAAGGGAAGTGGAGAAGAGCTGAAGGAAGAAATGAAGAACATGAAATAAAAAGGAGCTTTGCAAGAACAATGGGACGAGTATGTCTTGACTGAAGAGAGGAATTGGTTACCTCAATTAGTTGAAGTTAAAAAAGAATTGTTTTTGGTAGAGTTGTAATGTGGCCCAAGCAAGTCGAGGAGATCTTATTGAAGCAAGATTCCTAGCAGATAAAGTAACCCGAACCTTTGCTGAGTAACAACAATGAAGACACCAGTCCAAAGCAGCCAATATCTACCATGCTTTTTTTTTTGGGGGGGGGATATCTTATTGTTAAAAGAAAATTATCCATCTTGAAAAATTATTTTTGTGTGAGCATTTAAGTATTTTCTCATTAATGAGACCCTCAGATACCAGACATAGTATCAAACCCCTTATATACCACCTAATATAAATTAAGCATATACAACCCCTAAGGCAAAAAACTCATGAAGAAAAATCCCCATGGAGCATCAGGCAGTTATATAAACACAAAAACCAGACACTTTATTCATAGCACCACCTTGTTCCCTGCTCCACATGATATATATATATTTTTTTCCTTTTTGTCTTTTCTCATGACCGGTAACAGGATCACAACCCTCGGTGTCGCGCCCGTACCGCGACTGGCAACGGGATCACAACCCTCGGTGTCGCGCCCGCACCACGTTCAACCAGTGAGTGGACCGGTCTCTATATGGAATCCGAACCCTCGGCGGGAGCGCCGCCACACTCCCAAGCGCCACACTCTACTGAGTGTGCCACTGGGCGGCCCACATGATTTTTTTTTTTTGTCTTTTTTTCGTGACTGGTAATGGGATAGCAACCCTCAGTGTCGCGCCTGCACCGCGCTCAACCAGTGAGTGGACCGGTCTCTATATGGGATCCAAACCCTCGGCGGGAGCGCCGCCACACTCCCAAGTGCTGCACTCTACCGAGTGCGCCACTTGGCCGGCCCATGATATTTTTGATTAAGCACCAGCCCTCTTAAGGCATCACTGTAATATAATATCTGGCTAACAGAAATTGACATATTTTCATAGTAACAGCTGATTTTCATATAAGTCTTCACAAACAATCTAGGGATTCTGGAAAATGCTCTGTGGCTTTGAGGTATTTTAAAGTTAGGAATATTTTCTTCAAAACTTTTCTATTCACAAGCTCCATGAAAAGACAGTCGTCTTTTCACCAGTGATCCCCCAGAGTCCAGCAGAGGGCCCAGCAAGGCATCAAACTGTGTGTCTTGGATGCTTGAATCTGTATTTCATGGCTCATTAGATTAATTTATATGATCAGTTTTTCTTGTTGAAAACTGCATTATGTATCTACCAATAGAGACATTTCTCATAACAGAACGAGGCCTTAAAAATGTACTCTAATATTTTCATATTGAAAATGTGAAATAAGAAAAAAAAAAGGAGGTCCAGAGAAGTTTACAGACTATTGAAGCTTAGAGATTCAAGAAGTACATTCACTTGACTTCAACCCACCCCCCTCCACCCAGCCCAATGCTCTATGAACCACACTTCACGCAGTTCCTCTTTTAGGACTCTGTAAAAATCAAATGTAAATTAACTGGCTTTTTGAAAAAAATATATTTTCAGATTCATTAAGAAAAACTAAAAAGCTAGTTTGTAAAAGTCTTTTATTGTATCCGTGCCACACATAGTAGTGAAAAATAACACTCCTAAAAAAAAGAATGCTACCTTTTCCACAACATTTTATTTTAAATAAAACTTCAAGGACTCTTACATAGGTACAAAAAAAATTCTGATCTATCCGCCTCCAACAGGCCACCACAACACACAGTAGATAAAACACAGTGGTTACAAATGTCTTTTAAATTTATTTCTGAGGCAAGGCAAATGGGAGGGAAATGTTTCTATGAAAAAATACTGTGTGCGTAGGAAATTGTCACAATTTTATTCCACATGGATACAAATGATTATACTTTAATTTAGGCCCTGGTGGCTTAAAATTATGTAACAAAATAGAAAAATGGAAAACTAATATCCCCTACACCCTGTTTCAAAGGCAGGCACTACCAAGATTAAGGAGACGCCACAGTGTTGGTAGAGGATAATTACTGTACAAGCTGTATAGCTATAATTACCTTCAGACTAAAATAAAATGCTACAATCATTCTAAGGCATAAACAATAATGTCTGCAAACAATATATACACATAATACATATTTAAAACAAGACTTAATATAAACAATAATGAACAGTATATACAAGTCAATGTTTTCACTGTCTTGAAATACAATTTAACTACACAAGTGATGCAGCAACATATATATATATATAAATGTACTTGTAACTCTACAGTAAAGTTTATTTTTGGTGCTTTTATAGCACATCAGTGTAAACAGTTTAACTTGGCTTTGTTTTATATTTTAAAACATTCCTTGTTGTATTTTCAAGATTTAAAGCAATTTTCTAGTTCTTCCTTTTCACAGAAAACGAAGATTCTGGATGTGGTTTAATCATAAATAATTCATAAAATTAAATACATTCACTAAAAAATAAACTACAAAGTAAAAAAATGAAAAATAGATATTTATTGAGAGGGAAAGGAGAACCATTTCCCACATTAGAGCTCTGGTGTTGAGTATTCAGTGCGATTTGATATATTTTAATTGCTATTGCACTATAACACCCTTTCCTTTGAAAATTCTTTGGGTGTGCTTCCCTGTTCTACCTAAGTTAGCTGATAAACCACACAAACCAATAACCAAGGGCCTTGGTTGTTGCAGGAGTGAAGCCTTTAAAAATGGTATCATTCTTCTGATACTTTTTTTAATATACTTATTTTAAGGAAAAAAAAGTCATTATGTATGTGCCTTGCACGTTTATGTAAATACAGTTCACATTGCTGGTCTCATTTGTCCTTGTTTAAAAGGAAAAAAAGAGAGAGAGAGAGATTATTATAACTTCAGCTCACTTTGAAAGTATCTGTCCACTTTTTTTCAAAATACTTCCTCATACTGTGGCCAGCTCTGCCTATATCAGAATCATCTTCATTAAACGTTTCACAGTTGTCAAAAACAAGCCTGACGTCTAGAGCAAAGGTTTCAAGGTTTGGATACCTGAAAGGAAACACAATTAGAGATTGCTTTCATAGGGTGGCTTTGTTTTATAAACAAATGAAGAGGTAATAAAAGGTAAAACTGAAAGGAAAAAGAAAAAAATTAGGGTAACTACACATTTAAAACTGATATAAAATATGATATCCTCTTATAATGGAACATTTAAAAAACTTCATATGTGCTGGACCATATTCGATTTAAAGACAGGGCAAATGAAAAAACAGATTTCTCTGAAGATCAAGGTATATTTCAACTAACTGGCTTTTCCTCCACATCCTGTTTCCCATTTTATTTGTATCACAATTCTGTTGTAGGACTTATGTTACTTGATTAGTTTATTAACTCCTCTGACCAGCTGGATCACTTGTAGAACCCTATTATCTGCATTCGGAAATGTTCAGTTGCAGAAATAATGTAAATGCTTCCTATGCACTATAAAAATTATACTTGCCCTGTTTGCTGTTCTGTGTTAAATCTCCTCCATTTCCCTTCTTCTCTCTTCAAATATGGTCTTTTGCTCAAGCATTAGAGTATAAAGAACCAAAACAAGCAAAGAAAGCACGTGCTATTCCTTTACCAGAGATAACATTATGCGGGGCTGCCTTCACAACACAAGCTCCAGATTACATGTTACTTACTTTGGGAAGCGCCCCTGACACTCTTCCTTACCTGCCTCCCCAGTCTGGATTTGGTGCCCATCCAATGTCAAAAGCAAATTTATCACACTGTTTTTTAATTTCTTAAATAATTTAAATTGATTTGTCTTCCATACTTTACTACCCTAACTAAATACACACACACACACACACACACACACACACACACACACACACACACACACACACAACCCTAACTAAATACACACACACACACACACACACACACACACTCCTACCTCACCAAAGACAGGGCCTACGTCTTTGCTGTTAACTAATATATCTTTGGCTCACTAGAAAAGTGCCCAGCACATGTCAGGCATTCAAATAAATATTTATTGAACTGAAATGATTTACTTACTGTCCACTACTTAGTTTCTCTCTAATTGTGGAAAAATCCATAGGCTTCTTAATAACTTTCCTATAACCAGGAACAAGTTTCAAGTTTACAGGAAGGAGAAAAGGCCATGCATCCTCATGAGTTTCCATCTCAGTCAGGATCATACTAAAGAAAAAATAATGCCTGACATCAGAATTTATACTTATAATTGTCTATTTTTATTAAAAAATTAGCTTTCTATTATAATATTTCAAGTAAAACCTCAGTGCAACTTTGTTTATTAAAAAGATAAAGGAAGACATTATTATTTATACCTTTACTTATATATTTCCTTAGACTAATATTTTACATTTTTCTGTTTATACAAATTGTTGGAAAGTAACCTTTAATATGGTAAAAACTTTCTAAAACAAATAAAATAGGATGTCATAAATATGTCGTACATGAAAAATGAAATAATACCTGCAAAGAGCTAGGTCCTTGGAGTCATCTCTTTTAGGTTTCTTAACAGAAGTAAAGCTTTCTTGTTTTGACAAGTGAATAGAAGTGTTTTCCTCCATTTTTCTTTTTTTGAGGTCTTTGTTTCCTTTTTTTAGTGAACTACTTGTAGATGCAGAGTCTTCATCTTCAGTATCCCCTATTAAAGTTACTTTTTTGCCTTTCTTTGTCTCAGTAGTCTTTTTGCCTTTGACATGAAGCTTTTTGATTTTTAGAGTTTGACCACTTGCCTTTAATTTAAAAAAAAAGTAAATGAGGTATAAGAAAATAACTATCTATATACCTTCTATTATTTTAAATTATGAAAGTCCGGCAGGGCAAACAAATAGAGTCTTAACTCTGATCTTGAAGGCTGATAACTCTATTATTTTCAAGAGATATCTTTGTACTTGTTCTCCCAAAAGGCTAAAATATAATTAAGCATGAAAATATAATTAAGCATAAAATATAGCTAAGCATGAAATTCTATTCATCTTAAGAATTCTTAAAATTTGAAGATGCTGATTTCATGGTAATCCATCTTCGTACTAGAGAATTTATCAGCAATATTCCTTTAGATTATGTCACTAACTAAATAAATTGAAAGATACAAAAAACCTCTCTTTTAGTGCACAATATAATTAAGAACAAAGGTGAATATAATCAAAAATATACAGCCTATTAATAAAAAAGTTGAAGAGGTAACAAAAAGCTAGGCCAAAAAATGAAAAAGAGCTCATGAAGTGTCAAATACAGAAGTCCTTTTTAAGTGACTACATCTACTAGAAATAGATTTTTTTTTCTTTATGGATAAAGAATAAAAAAATATCTATCTGCAATAAGAAGAGAGTTCCACAAACTTGTGGTTCCAAAGTGTGAACAAAGCAGCCGTGAAAGATGGGGGGAAAAGATGTCTGTTTTTGAGGAAAACAGTATAAATGGTATAAAGGACATTATATCTGTAATCAATGGATATGAATTCCAGCTATGGCTCTGTTACATAGCTATGGAAATTTGGGCAAAAGTCTTTGAGGCCCTGTTTTCTCATGTGTAAAATAAGAAAGATAAGCCACATATTTTCTAAGGTCACTCTAGCTCTAGAATTACAGGAAAAAAAAAATCTCAATGTGGCCTTTTTCAATTTAGCCACAAATTGTGCAGCACATTGATGTAACAATGAAAAAGGTCCCCTACCCCAAATTTAGAAATAGGGAAATAAGTCTGTCTTTTGAGAGTTAAATTTGTAATAAATCTAATAGATCATAAAAGAGAGATATGTAAAGTCACTGGTAATACATAGTTTTTGTTTTGATTTTCCAAAGTAGCGCATATCAAACTCTTTTAGAAAACTACTTCTCCGTTACCCAGAACATTAAGAAATCCTAGACTCGGTCATGTGACCAGTCCAGTAATACTTTAAAGTTGGCTGTATTCTTGACATGTATTTGGCTGAAAACATTTCTTCACAGTATGTCATGGAAATTTCTTTGAGAGTTTCATAACCTCTGCCAGCAATATTATTAAAAACTCATAATCAAGCAGTTAAAATTATTGGTTCTCTACTGGCAGGTAAAAAGTATAGTTAAGGAGATATTTTAATTAACTAAATACAATAAGACAATCCATAGATCCAACACTTTCCCCATGCCATATCAAAGAATCACTACCCCTTGTCAAAGACTGAAGTAATTAAAATCATTATACTAAGCCTCTTCTCCATTAAGTTTATTAATTTTTATTCACTGAAATCTGATTATTTGGGATTTTCATATTATGCTGAGCATTTAGTACTCTGAAATCATTAAAAAAAAGATAAAGAGAATGCATAATATAATGAAGGAAAAGTCCACTTAATGAATATTAAATTAAGTTAGATATTTAATAGTTGTGTTATTTAAAAAGAACAAAATTTCATGAATAATGGGCCAAAACTTCTAGTTTCTATTTGAACTAAAATATTACTTGAGATCATTTTCTAACAAATTAGTATGTACAGTAAGAAAATATGAAATTGAAATTACAGAATCAAAAGACTTCTGTTTCAAAAAAGACAATGAAGTCTATTTCTTTAATAAACGATGATTATCAACTTACCTCATTAGGTAGTGCAGATACACATACTTTAAAAGCAAACTTTTATACAATTACTGTTACCTGATTACTTTGCTCTTGTGTAGTAACCCGCCCCACCCCACTCCCGACTCCTTGCTAGGGCCCAAATTCAAAGAACTTCAGTGGGTCTAAGGCAGAACCTATCAGATTGCATGCACAAAGGCACATATCTATTATGTTTGTATATTTATATATTAGAAGTTGTGAACTGGTGTTTTATAGGCCATAAAGAGCCCACATAATGTGCTATTTGGCTTATATGATATTTGTAATAATTCTGAATTTGTTTCCAACATTTAATATTTGGGAGGATATGCATAAAAGTCCATAATTCTGACTTGCCTTGAAATATTAAAAGTTGTTGGAACACCGGGCCCACCTTCCTCCATGACAACAATTGGCTGAAGTTGAGTGATGACTACCATATTTAATAGGGGGCATGATTCACCTGTTTGCCACAGTGCCCACTATGGGTCCAATGAACTCTTTTACGTTATTTGCTTGACTTTTGTATGTACTAGAGTTTGAAACTTCTAATATGTTCTATTCAATTCTGTGATCATTTGACACACACATACACACTGAGTAAAAATAGTTAATCATAATGATGTATTTAGAAATAGCCACTTGAGGGCAAGATGTATAGTACAAATGTTTGTAAATAACTATGAATTAACTGGAAAGATATTTTTAAAACCTTAAGTTTTCCTTATATATCAAAATCAAATGTGTAGAATTTTCAAAATTGTTGTAATAAACATAACATACAGTTTACTACATTTAAAAACAATAAGCTGGCCAGTTAGCTCAGTTGGTTAGAGTGTGGTGCTGGTAACACTAAGGTCTGAGGTCCGACCCCTATACTGGCCAGCAAAAAACAAAAACAAAAACAGAAGCTTAGAAAGCTGGATTCACATAAAAGGGCACATGGATGAGGTCACAAATCTTATGTTTCTAAGTTCACTCCTTAAATTATAGATAGCCAGAATTCTAACTTGAGCAAATTTACTGAAAACAAAACCTCCAATAGCCTATCAGGTGATACCCCCCAAACTTAAAATACTTATCTGTTAGTAGATCAAAAAGTATTAGAGAAACTTTCTATAACTTGACAGTTATGAAGCTAAAACTTTACATACAACTAGTGAATGTTACTGTTGAACTCCATTTAACTATATATGACAAAAATGATTAAGAAATCAAAAAGCAATTATTAGTGAATATGATACCGTGCAGGAACCCTTGCTGTAATGTAAAATGTAGTCTAAAATATAATAATGTATTAATATAAACATTTCACAGAATTCTAAAGTTATAAAAGCTTTCACATATATGACCTTATGTGATCCTCATAAATTCCCATAAAGCAGATAATAAACCATCCTACAGATGATAACCCTGAAGCTAAGAAAGCACACCAATGTTTACACATTGGGGAGGTGAGCAAAAATCAGCAAAGGAGACTGAGAAGGAGCAAAGTCAGGGAGAAAACTAGGTGAGGAGGGTATCCTAGAAGCCAAGTGAAAAACAGTGTTTCGATGAGAAGGTCAGATGAGGCCTAAGCACTGATCACTGGATTGCAGCAATGTGGAAGTCATTTGTGGCCATGATAAGAGCAATTTCAGAGAAGCTGTGGAGGTGAACATCTGACTAGAGTGAGTTCAAGAGTGACCCAAAATAGAGACATTAGAGAGAACCAGAACAGAAAACTTTCCAGGTGTTTTTCTGTAAAGGGAAGGAGAGAAATATGGGAAGTGGATCAAGGGAGAAGTGAGGCCAGAAGAGGGTTTTTGTTTAGTTTTCCTAAGATGGGAGAAATAACAGCAATGTTAGCAGGCTGATGAAAGGAACCCAACGGAGAAGAAGAAATTGATGATGTAGGAGAATAGGGAACTGCTAGAGTAATGTTCCTAAGGAGGTAAGAGGGGATGGGAACGGAGGCACGGTTGGGGAACTGGCTTAGTTAGAGGTGCTAGCAGTACATGGCAACAGAAGAGAAGGTAAAGTACATGAGCCCAGATGCTGAAGGATGGTAGACGTGGTGGCAAGATCTTGTGGTATTTTCTTCTATTGGCTTCCATTTTCTCAGTGGAATGAGAATAAGGTTATTAGCTGAGAATGAGGATGGAGAAGACAGAGCTGGAGATAAATCATCAGAAATCATCAGTGGCCCTCTTAATGCCTTGAATTTAAAAGGCTGGTTATTTTCTATAGCCACATTCAGATACAAAGGTATAGGTGCTGGAGAAGACAGAGAGCTGGATAAACCATTGTGATGGTTTTCCCAAGTGAGAGAATGGCAAAGGACCTAACAGTGGATCCAATGATAATGATAATAGGATACTGACACATTATAAGATTAGGAGGAAAGAGAGGCAATGAAGGGAGAGAGGGACAGTGAAAAGGTCTTGAGATAAATGAAGGTCCTGGTGAGACCAAAGGATTGTTGAAGTTGGAGTACTAGAGGGAGTGAACTGGAAAGAAAAGAGGTGGTGGACAGATGGATGTTGGATTGAGTTCATGGTGAGGCAGTAGTTACTGTTATTGATTAGGTCAAGAGATTTAATATGGGACAGTGATTGAGGTAGGAAACACCTAGCAAGGAGTCTGGCCTTCCGTATATGCTGATTCTTTTATACTTCTTAATCCTTACCTTTTAACTCCAAAATCCATTTCTTTCTGTTTTATTATATTGCTTCTCTCTTAATTGGTAAGAGAGTTCACAGATTCCTATTTTAAATGTGACTTGAAAATGACTTAAAATATAGACACTTATCACTATATGACTTAGCAATTCTACTTCTAGGTAATATGCCCAAGAGAACTGAAAGCATACATTCATACCAAAACTTGTATATGAATGTTCATAGCAGCATTATACATAATAGTTGGAGGGTAGAAACAATCCTGTTGTCCATCAGCTGATGAATGAATAAATAAAAGGTGGCACATCCATACAATGGAATATTATAAAAAGAAAGGAAATACTGAAATATGCCAGAACATGGATGAATCTTGAAAATACTTTATTAAGTGAAATAAGCCAGACACAAAAGGCCATCTATTGTATGATTCATATGTAATGACTACAATAGACAAAGCCACACAACAGAAAGTAGATTAGTGGCTGCCAAAGGTTGGGGAGAGAAGGAAAATGGGGAGTGCTAATGGATTCTTTTCAGAGTCATGAAAATGGCATGTGAGTATCTCAGGAAAAAAAACCCCATAAAATTCTGCATTTTGATCTAGTAATTAAAAAGTTTACTTTTAGGCCAGTCTTACCTTAGCAATGCAAGCTGGACAAAACCAGTCCCCATCTGGTATAGTGGTAATCTTGGGTCTATGGCAGTATGTATGACAGCCTTTGTCACAGCCATCACAGAGGAGAAGCAGTTCTTCATTATCTCCCTTTCGACAGATTTGGCAGTACTATAATACATAAAAAATCATTTAAAATTAACCCTCTGCTATGAATAATAGTTACTGGGATGTTAAACACACCATACTTCCTAATTTATATTAGTAATAAACATTCCGCTTGCTAACAAGTATACAGTAGCCATACACATCTATGTATCTCTCATTACACAGATATGGACCACATGACGGGGTGAGCAGTTCTATTGGGGTAAATGCACATTTCAGGTACACTGCAAAAAACAAAGCTAGAGGTTGAATGCCTGCACACACTTCAGAAGCATGTACACATTAACATATGAAATAATTAACATGACATTAGAGCACATAAAGCAATGAATAGCTTTAATACATGGTGGTTTTTAAAAATGTGTTTCATCTTTTGCTTATCTTAGCATCCTCATGATATCCTGAGAAAGAAATAAGAGTTAGAGTAATTTTTAAGATCAAAATTACAAAACTTGTATTAACATAACAATTATATATAATAACTAAAAATCCCTAGATTTTGACTAAATTATCTATGTTTTGTGATTAACTGAAAAATGTGTCCAAATCAGGAAACTTTAATCAACCCAATTCAAACATGTATCGTAAGTGCAGAAAATGGATCCTACAAAATAACTAAGAAAAAAGAATAGATACAATAAATTAAATAATTTAAGAAGTCATGATTTATTTTCTAAAAATAAAAATAAAATTACTTCTCTATTGAAAAAATTCTAATATCATTAAGAACTTCAAATCTGCAAAGACAAAATTTTTTTTATGCATACATATTCTGTATAACAAGTTTCACAAAGGGAAAGAAGAAAAGTTAGATGAGTAAAAACTTTCAAGATGCCTTAAAAAAATAGTAAGTACTAGTATTATTTTTTTACATTTACTTTATATTCCAGTCATAGTACAAAATGTCCTGCAAACAATATTTTAAAAAATGAAAACATTTATACTGGAAATAATTTATACTAATTTAAAGTTAGGTATTTATATATTCTTAAAAACAAAATAGTTTAACTGTTCAAACTTTAATTTTCAACAGAACATTATATCTTAGTCTGAGAAAGTCCAAAATAATAGCCTTATAACCGACCCCCCATATATATATATGTGCACCAGCGATAGTTAAAGAATCTTATAAAAACGGGAGATACACACTATTCAAGTTAACACATATCGATCAAATACATATATCATATATGTAATATTAAAATTGGCATGTATAATAAGAGCAAAAGCAGCAAAATTTAACATTCCAACAATAACTACCTATTTTATGACCCTTCCTAATACCACATCACTAAATGCCTTAAGTTGGTGTTATTTTTCTAAATTTGAGTTACATCTCTCAAACTTCTAGTATAAAAATATCCATCAAGAAATAACATTTGGAAGGTTATATTTAAGTCCCTATAACAAAATTAAAAATTAGATTCATGAACATAAGTAAATTCTCACTGTTAGGGACAATAGATAACTAAAAATACTGCAAAGCTTGTCTTACATCTCACATTTATTATTTAAAAATAAAATTATTTTCTGGGCTGGCCCGGTGGCGCACTGGAGAGTGCGCCGCTTGGGAGTGCGGCGGCGCTCCCGCCGAGGGTTCGGATCCCATGTGGAGACCAGTGCCCGCTCACTGGCTGGGTGCAGTGCGGGCGCAACACCGAGGGTTGCGATCCCGTTGCCGGTCCCCGGTACAGGCGCGACACCGAGGGTTGTGATCCCGTTACCGGTCAGTAAAAAAGATAAAAAGGAAAAAAATAAAAATAAAAAATAAAATAAATAAAAAAATAAAATTATTTTCTGATACTTTTAAAAGAGTGACAAATGTCAAATTCATAACATTTTGAACAATCACTGTAATAGCTCACAATATGTTAGAGCAGATATATCAATATTTGGTTTTAACTCCATCATTACTATGTTAAAAACAAGTGAATGTTTCCTATTATTTAACATCAACAACAATATACAGCACACTGTGGGCAGAGAATTATCTGGGGGCAATTTATGACAGCTCCTTCTTTCCTGATAAACTTCATCTCTGGCCCAGAGGGTATTTCTAAAGATATCGAGCACTTTAACATTTTTTAGGGATTTATTATGAGGATTATTATAGGCACTGTTGCATCTCTAATTAAAGGTTACAAAGTGCCTGTTAATCTATGAATATGAAACTCTGCTTTCTTTTCAAGGTAGTTTCATAGCAAAGAGTGAATTATTAAACATTAAAAAAGAAATAAAGATTATGAGAAATGGAGTTAAATGACGACAAATGTTTATTAGTAATATAGGAAAGTTTAATAAATGTGCATAAACTGAAATAAAGTTTCAGGTTGCAGAAAGTAAGTGGACCAATATGAAAGCAGGTTTTGGTACAAGTTTTGGGTTTCTGTGTATAGACCTAAAACAAAACTGACCACATTATGATGATTCTTTTGGTGTAGATGAGAAAAAATAACTATACGTATTTCATTTTCATGTAGGAATTCAATCTTTTTTGATCACTGTAGCCTAGATTTCACCAAATACATTTAACCAAAGTGACTTTAAAACTGGGTTTAGTAATAATTGTTAGAAGAGAAAATATTTTTACCTCATAAAAATGCTTACAGATGAACTGAACAATGCCTTAAAACTTATAGTAAATTCTAATTTGGATTGAGAAAGACTTAGAGTGTATTGTGAAAATTAGATTCATTATTCCACAGTCATTTTAGAAAGAAGTGAAAAACCACAGAAGAAACCAAATTCATTTGTATATAATGAATAAGGTCTTAAGTAGTCTAAACATGGAGGTAAAAATTAAGGAAAGAATGCTAAGTTATTTAAGGATCACTTCTTTTCTTCAGGGAACAACTACTTTAAGTAAAGAAATTTCACCCTTAGCCATTCATGAAAACAAATCTCAAGCGTCTGAATTTTAAAGATAGTCTGTAATTCAAAAGTAAATGTTAAAGTGATTTATAAATCTACATATAATACATACTTCTATATATGATATATAAAAGAGGCAAGAGGGACACTTGTACATGATTTAAAATAAATATCTCTTTGGAAACAGAATAAACTATAGCTCTTAATTTGGACACATAGCATTTTGGTGCCTGGCACAAAGTAGAGACTCACTACATAATAATAACTAATTGGGCTTGTATGAAGAAAGTGAAAAATCAGTTATTATTAGAGGAAAGACTAAAAGATCTGCTCTTCTTGTCAACCACATCTGATGCCAAACACATGGTATAAGTGCATAAGGTAAGAGCTCTCTGCTTATTTTGTTACTTATCTAGTACATCTTAGCATTAAAAAATGAAAACTGATAGAAAAATAAAGACACTTTAGGAATGGAGTAATGTAGCAGGTGACCTTAGCAACTGGAATGTTTACAAGAGTGAAAGGGCCTTCAAAATATTTAGATTAACAACTATTATGCTGATAGAATGTAGGAGACAACTTCAGTTAGAGTTACAAACAATATTGAAAGGAGGCAGAAGATGTAAAGATATAAAAGAGAACATATTTGGTAGGTTCCTTCAAAAAGCTCAAAATTAGGAGAAAAGTATCAAAATATACAGTATTTAAAAATTAGACAAACTCAAGTACAGCATACATTATTGTCACAGTGGGTAACGAATATTTAAGAAAGATCTGGAGGTTGGGAAAAAACAAGACAAAGTAAATTAGTTATAATATTTCTTAAATAAAAACACTTACAACTTTCATAATTGATTTTTCCCATGCTATTGATTTCTGTAACTGCTGAATGCACAGAGCTACCTGTGCAGCACTGCGAGCTTCTGATAATGCCCTTCTCCATACCCTGAGCCCTGGAGCAATATCCTCTTCAATTCTGCATTGAAATATAGAAAAATTAAGTAGGTCATGTCCACATTTATGATCACTGAATGTGAAACAATCATCACACTGAAAGCCAAGCAATGACAAAAACATGTAACAGCCAATAAGTATAAAGTTTAAGCAACTAAATTTGATGTAGTGCACAGACTGTGGCTACGTGCCTCAAAGCTTAGTCACAACCAGGTAAATGTAAGATCACTTTGCAAGATTATCACGCACATAACAACAACAAAGTTTTTACAAAGCACCATGCAAATAGCATGATCCATATGGATCACAGACATACAAGAAGATACATAGATAACAGGCAATAGAAAATAGGCTCCAATTAGCAAAGAAGCACAATAATTTTTCAAGTTAATCTCAATAACCTACCCGTCACCATCACCACTAATGGATGGTGCAGGAGCAGGGACAGTAACTGTGCCCACATTATCCAGTTTGATCTGAATGGTGGTACTTAAGGGGCTCTTCAGATACCTTCTTTCAATGTTCCGCTCCAAATCAGCCAGCCTGGTTACAGCTATATCTAGGGGGTTGTCACTCTTCCGTTCTAGTGCACATGCACTGCTTTCTTCTTCGCCAGTAAATTCTCCATCATGTTCCTTGCACAATTTAGTAAATGATTTATGTTCAAAATATACCAAATCCTCCCTTTCTGATGCAGGCTCTGGACACATCCAACCCTATATATCAAGAGAATAGTGTTATTGTGGGGTTTCCTCTTAAAATGCCAGATGGGTGAATTACCTTTAATTAAAATATAGCGGTGGATACTGGCAGATCTCAAGGATCCTTATTAAAAGCTTTTACCTTGTGTTTCCTAATGCTAGGTAGAAACAAGAACAGAAAATTAAAAGAAACAGTTGTAAGATAAGTTCGAAAAATAAAATTTATCAGCTTTTGATATTATGAAAGGTATAATAAAAATCAGCAAAGTATTCTGAAGAATTTTAGACCAAAACACTTATTAATTTCATGGGACCACTTAAATGGAAATGTCGTGGTACCTCTGAACTTTGCTCTTCCTCTCTGTTTTCATTCCTTGCACTAATCTGCTATATAGGTTCTGTATTCACCATTTTTCCTTTGGCTTCAGGGTCTCTGCATAATCTGTTACCTTTGTCTGTATAGTTTTTCCCTGCTTCTCTACACCTAGTTAACTCCACTTATCCTGCAGCTCTCATGTTAAAATTCACCTCAACATGAAAGGACCCCTTGAAGCAGAATCCTTCCTTGACCGCCTTCAGGAGGTGAGTTCTCCTATTACAGGCTCTCATAGGACCAAATAAAGCTCCATAACCTTGTCATGGTTGCCATTTTATACTAATGTGGTCATTTGACTGACATCTTTCTACCTCTAAATTCCATGAGAGCAGGGATCATGTATGCTTTTACTCATTTAGCTCCAGCACAGTGAAGGCAAACAATGGGCACTCCATACATATATGTTGATGAAATAAACGAATGATCTTATAACTTAGCTTGCTTATATCAATCCTCTAGCTCACTTCCCACTTCCAGGTATTGCATTCCCTAGTCTCTGACTTTTATTTTTTCATTTATTTTATTTTATTTTTTTGTCTTTTTCTTGACTGGTAAGGGGATCGCAACCCTTGGTGTGGCATCGCCCACACCGCGCTCAGCCAGTGAGCGCACCGGCCATTCCTATATAGGATCCGAACCTGCGGCAGGAGTGTCGCTACGCTCCCAGCGCAGCACTCTCCCGAGTGCGCCATGGGGCCGGCCTGCTAGTCTCTGACTTTTAAAGCCTTACTCATCCTTTTAAGTTCTATCTTGACTTCCACATGAAATCTTCCCTAATCTCGTCCATATCTCCACCACAAGTTGGGTATTCTCTTTCTAGATTCATGAACTATTCTGTACTTCTCTACTGTCAGTTTCTAGATTCTGCATATATGTATACATATCTTACCTCCCTATTATATGGCAAGCTTTCTGAGGGTAGGAACCACATTTTATCCAATTTTGTGATGTCTACTGTCTGATATGAAATAGGTACTTAGTAAATGCATATTAAATGAAAAACAGAATGAACTTTTTATTATATCTATTGAGAGATAATTATTTTATCTTATTTATTAGGATCAAGTATTCCCCTTTAACACAGTAGAACACTTATATTTACAAAGGAAAAATGAAATTTATGCATAGGACACAAGTGTGTAGGTACAAGTCATGTCAAGTGAACATCATTCCCATATTTTTAAAGGGATACAAAATTGCTAAATAAAGGGAACCCTGTAAACATAGTGTATCTTGATTTCTGCAAGGCAACTGACAAGGTCAAAAAATAAGGACTAGACTAGAGTTAGAGAAATCTAGATGGCTGAAAACTATATCCAAAAAACTGGCAATTAACAGAACTTGTCACCTCAGAAAAGGTCCTCAATGCCAGTGCCCAAAGGCTCTATATTTGGCTTGTCCTGTTAATACATTTACGAATAATTTGGTTGATTGCTATAAATCTGCAGGTGATTTAAAACTAGGAAGAAGTTTAACATTCTGGATGATAGGACTAAGACAAAAATAGTTCCATATTACTGAAAACTGTGCCCAAATTTAATTAATAAAAATATAATAATGATAAATGCAGATTTTAGCATTGAAGTTTTAAGCAACTAACGACAGAAATACCGAATGTGATAGAACTCATTTAAAAGTACTTTGAAAGAGGCCCAGGGATTTTTGTTACATCGTATATTCAGTAAAGCAATAGTATAATGTGGATGCTAAAAAGCTGGTACAAATCCAAATAGTGTTAATAGAAGTATAATGCCAGATTTAAGAAGGACACTGACATTGATGCTTATTCAGAAGAGAATCATAGACCTGGAAACAATTTCACAGGACTAATGGCTGAAAGAATTTTTAAAGAGACACAGAAACTGTCTTTACAGGAGCTGGAAGAGTAATTAAACTTTTTGTACACTCTCGACAACAGAACTAGGAATAAGGATTCACAGATTTTCCTACAATATAAAAACAGGACTTCCAAATTATTAACAATATTAAAAATAGAAATAAATTTACCTAAGTAGACCTAAGCCACCTTTTTAATGTGACTTCACAACTACTAGTTCCCCAGGCTAACCATATAACTCTATTTTCTTTTAAAGAAAAACATTATTAAATCCTATATAGGTATTAAAATAACGTTTTGTAGTTATTTCATCACTTTTTTCATCACTTGTGTTCTTAGACTCTTTAAGACTAATATAATTATAATTCAGTTCTTAGACTAATACAGAATAATCCAGTAATACCTTATTAGAGGTATTAAACATCCCACTTAAAGTATTAAAATATTCCACTTAAAAAGCAAATTCTACTTAACTACTGAGAACACAGCCAAGAGCATTTAAGCAGCCAGGAATGTGATAAGGTCAATGCACCAAAATCTAAGTATGTCACCAGGAAAATGTTTCAGGCATACACTCTGACTTTATACATAATTTTTAAAAGGTTGATGATATGCTTTCACAACCTATACTCAATTAGAATTGGCAAATTAGATGGGGAAAAGTTGGAGGAAAATAGGGCTAGTACAGTCAATAAAATCTAAACCAGCAAGCAGTAACAACTGACCATGACAGAGGACAAAGACAGCTGATAGAAAGTAGATATGATAATTTAAAAAGCAAAGCACACCAGGATCATTCAGTGTAGGGGCAGAACCTCTTTACATTTCCTAAGGGAATCATTGCCTAATAATCGGTCTTCATACTGATGATCCTGTGACACCAAGATAATTTAAATTACACTCATTATTCTCAATTGAAGAAGGCAGAGAAATGCATAACATAAGATATCCAACAAACATGCTAAAAAATTATGGCACTAAATGGAATAATTTTCATTTCTACAGGAAATTAACTTGTGTTGAAGAGTTCATTTGTTGAAGATCCAGATAAATGAGCCATTTTTATCCTGTATTATAGTACTAAGAAAAGAAGACATATCGTTTGTTAGCACAATAGTCTTAGCAAATGATAAATTTTTTCTTCCCAATGTTGGTAATTATATTTGTGGCAAGAAAGGGATATTTTATTAGCTCTGAAAACTACATTTTTTGGAGATCCTCAAAAGTGCCCAAATGCCTACATTAAACTTATTATGAAACAAAATTTTAATTATTGGATAGGATAATATTATGCCATAAATTTCTTATTCTGAATAAAATATGAAATATCAAATCAAATTACATGGGGACTAAATTTTCTAAACCTTTGCAGGTAACTCTCCCTTTCATGCCTATTCATCATCGATACATTTATTTTTGGAGATGCCACCTTATTATCAATTGATAAGACACTTACACCCCCCTTTACAAAATCAAAAATTCTTGGACAAAACTAAAGCTTTTCCTTTTGCCTGTCCCATCGGAAACCAGTTCTAGTCATTTCCTGTCACATGGTAACACCCAGTAAACAAACACTTTACATATACATGTAGGATGCGAGTGTCTGTGTATCATACATTTGGATATATCTATACTGTTCTTCAAATTTAAACTATATAGAGTAAAAGTCTGACATATAACATGGCCTGTATGAAACACTACAATAGGAGTCTCTAAGATTTGTACTAGAACATTACGTTTATCATGGGGAAAACTGAAATTCTGCTTGTGGTTAAAAATTGCATACCAGCAATGATATTTCTCAATAAAATTAAGTAGGCCGCAAGATTTGGTAAAAGGAATATGGGTTCTAGAGTCAGAAGGACTTGTTTTAAATCCACATTTAGCCTCTTACTATGTGACCACTGGCAGGTTACTTACTCTGAGCCTGGTTTCTTACCTGTAAGATGGAGGGGAATTAATTCAGGATTGTTTTGAGAATTAAGTGAGATAAAGTGAAAACATTTAGCACAATAACTGGCATATTTTAGACATGTAATAAATATTAGTTACCTTCCATCATCCTAAGAACAGATTTTATTCCAAGTCAATTTTACCTTTACTTGCAAACTTGCTGATGCAACTCTCCTTTCTAGATCTTCTACCTGTTGAAGGATACTCAAATCCATTTCCATTGCTTGCTCTTCTACTGACCAGTTCTCCACAATATCTCGAGTTACCTGGTTTTCTTCATTTTCATTTAATTCAATAATAGCAACTACATTTGAAAAGAAATTAATTTTAAAATCCACTTTATTGAGTTTTCCCCTCAGTGATTTCTTGCAGAAAGTGAATAAAATTCCAGAGGTATCATGTACATCTAATTTAATATACACAGATGTGCACGTACATGTAAAAGCAGCTTACTCTTAAAAGTAGAAACACTCTCAGAAACAGAAAACAATATGTCTGCAGGTGTAAAAAAGTATAAGAATGTAATACCAATTTAAGAAATGTAAATAGTTACTGTTTGTTGAGAAAATAGAAAAAAATAGTAATAAATTAAAAATTAAGACATACTAAAATGCATTTTAGGATAAAAGATTTAATTCTCATATCTAAGCTCTTTTAGGTACATACCATCCTTATTCTTGATGCAGGCTTGAGTAATATAATCCAAGTGCTTCTGAATTTGTTTTTGTAATGCCTTTTCTCTTATTCCTCTGAGATGTAGCACTTTAAGCAAAGCTTTTAAGTCCTCTGGGTCAATAATTCTCCACCAACCAAACTGCATTTCTAAGTCAAGATAAATATTTAGATCTTTTACAAATATTTTTAATAGGAGAGAATGGCACAATGCAAATCAAAAGATTTATCAACTACATATAAAACCATGAAAAATTCAGTTATAAATAGGAATCAATAATAATGAAATAAAGTTAAGAGGCTTTAAACCATATCAAGGTACCTACCTTCTGGAATAGGTTTTGGACTAGGAAAATCTACTGGTTTTGCCACTTCAACAGGTGCAGGTTGAGTTGAAGAGACCTTTTCATTCTGTGGTACTGGAGATTCACTTTTACTTGAAGCAACATTGGAAGTCAAGAATGAATTACCATTTCCTTCTGATAATCCTAACCCTGATCCCAGACTAGGTAAAGGTGATGTAAATGGAATGTTGGAAGTAAGGACACCAGTGGGCCACCCACAAAACTGAAGTCCCATCACAGATACTCCACTTTTCATCTGTAAAAGTAAAACATTTAAAAAGTAAATTAATCTAAGAAGTTAGGAAAAATGTTTAGAATCTGAAATTATTTTTCAAATTCTGAAAAAATATTCTTTCATTTATCACAATTAGAGGAAAACGAAATACATTAGCAACAATATTGTTGCTATTTGCTCCCCAAAGTAATTTCCCTTTTAAATACAACAGGAATAAGTTAAAGAGTAATTACAGAAGACTTAGACATAGGCTAGAAATCAGTAGTTCTAATGCAACTTGTTGATAGAAATTCTGACTTGCTTCCCTTTTCAAATTGTGGCAGGGATACTGTTAATTCTTCAACTGATCCACTTAAGTGAAAATCTTCATGGGGTCAAAGATAAAATAAGGCAATATAAAAATGAGTTACAGTTAGCAGTACTAACCTGAAGAGGTGATAAAGCGAATGGATTTAGGCCTACGGGATTCTGAGCAGAAGATGACCCAAGAAGAGGAGCTGGGGCAGGTGAAGGTGACTTAGATGGTGATTGAGACTGAGGAGTCACTAAAGAAGTAGTTGACATATTGGTATGTGTTAGTGAAGTGTCATCACAAGGTGTTCTCGGCAAAAGGCTAAACCATTGTCTATTCTTTTCAGTCAGTGTTTTTAACAACTGGTCATTGGGGAGAGGACTGTAGAACTTCCCTTGACCACTAGAACCAGTATTAAACAGATTATTAGAGTCTGTCTTTTCCACATTGCTTTGTGATGCTGTTGATGGAATGCTGCCCAATGAATGTTTTCCACTGTTTTGATAAGACAATGTGCAGCCATTTGCACTAACATTTGGTTTGGGGGTTATAACATCTGACTCAGGAGGCATCTTAGCTACTTCTAACAGCTTGCTTAATTTGGAAAAAGAGCCAGGTTTCTGAAGAAACAGATTTGTGTTATCTTTTTCTTTAAGATCTTCCTTTTGCTCACATTGATCTGTATTTGAACAATTTAAAGTATCCCCAGAAGTCTCAAACATTTCTTCTTTGATCTGGATACTAGCTTCTGCCTTTTTTAGTTTTTCTCTTTCTTTTGCAATTTCTTCTAGTCCTACAAAATCAAAAAGTATTATGAAGATCAGTTACTCCAGATCAAATCAATATTGTAGTTAAATTTTATTACTATTTATCAAATTACATGAATAAATATTTAAACAAATTTTTCTAGATTACTTAATACTCCCCACATTTTCCTTTTTTACAGATTATATTTTTCATTCATTGGAAAATTATGTATATCCATTACAAAAAATTAAAACATAAAAATATTAAAGGTATAAAAATTTTTTTTTTCCTTTTTGTCTTTTTTCATGACTGGTAACGGGATCGCAACCCTCAGTGTCACGCCCGTACCGCGACCGGCAACGGGATCGCAACCCTCGGTGTCGCGCCCGCACCGCGCTCAACCAGTGAGCGGACCGGTCTCTATATGGGATCCGAACCCTCGGCGGGAGCGCCGCCATGCTCCCAAGTGCCGCACTCTACCGAGTGCACCACCGGGCCGGCCCAAAGGTATAAAAATTTTAAAAGCCCTACTACACAGCAAAAATTGCTATTAACATTTTTGTACAAATTCTCCAATAGTTCTCTATGCAATACACACACTATATAATTAAAAAAAAAAGGAAATTCTATTATAGGCATAATATTCTAACCTACCTGTTTTACTGAATCATACTCTGTAAACATCCTGAAGTGTCAATAAATGTAACTACAACATAAATTTTAATGGCTGCAGAGTATTCAATGGACTAGATAATAATTTAAATAATCAATCTTCTAGTGATGGACATTAATAGGGCACAATTATTACTATTGTAAAAAACGCTGTTGGGCTGGCCCGGTGGCGCACTCGGTAGAGTGCGGCGCTTGGGAGTGTGGTGGTGCTCCCGCCGAGGGTTCGGATCCCATATAGAGACCGGTCCGCTCACTGGTTGAGCGCAGTGCAGGCACGACACCGAGGGTTGCGATCCCGTTGCCGGTCACGAAAAAAGACAAAAAGGAAAAAAAAAAAACCAAAAACAACAACAACAAAAAAACGCTGTAAATGATAAATAAGCTAGTATTTGCATCTTTAGACTCCCCCCGCCACCTTCCCCTCCCCCCGGATTTACTTCCTTAGGATAAATTCCTGGAAGAAAACTCACTGAGTCCTAAGATATGTACTTTTCAGAGTTTCTGAACTATATTGTCAAACTGCCCTCTAGAAAGTGGGGATCAATATATACTAACACTAGAAGGACATGACAGCATCTGTTTGCCTACACGCTCAATGAAATTTGAACTTCTGGTTCATATTTTTGCTTATTGATTTTTAAAAAATAACTTAAATAAGGTCTTTTAAAAATATAAATCCACTACTTTATTCAATTTGAAAAGTAATATACATTCAAGGTAAAATATTCAGTAACGAAGGGTATAGAGTAAAAGCTCTTTCTGCCCTAATTTCTGTCTCTACTTTTACTCTTCCGTGCTAACCATAGTTAATCCTATCTATCTTATCTTCCAGAAATCTTACATATACTATCTATGACTATCATTTTGCACTATTCCATAAATGGAATACTACTATTTGCTTTTCTGCAACTTAGAATGAAATTCAAATTCCTAACCAAGGCCTATGACACTGCTGTATGATCTGGTCCCTGTCAACCTTTGCAACCTCTGCAACACTCCTGTCCTTGATAACCTTGCTTCTCTTTTTCTTTTTTTCAATTTCTCAAATATTCTCCAGAGATGTGCAGAGGAACCCCTCAAGTATTCAGATGTATAATGATCAGCACATATGTGTGAGGAACCTACCTGAGGCCAGGGGGAAAAAAACCACCTGAAAGGATTAGAGGTGACAGTGCTAGGTGCTCACACAGGTTGGGAATAGTGCCTATTCCTACCAACCAGACTGGGAAACCTTAAGATAGATAGATAGATAGGTAGGTAGATAGAGTACTCAGAAGGAACTTGCTTCACTAGTAGTGGTGGTGCAGACTGAGCACTATTCTAATTCTGCCTAACAAATTTGAAATGTAAGACTTAAAAGGATCAAACTTTTTCCAAGTAACTTAACTGTGTCTCATTAAACAAAGCAAGAATATTTATAGAAATTTTAAAATATCCAGCACCTAACAAGGTAGAATTGACAATGTCTAGCATGGTCAAAATTAGGAGGCATGCAAAAAAGCAGGAAAACATGACACATAATTAGAAAAACCAATCAATCAAAGCTGATCCAGAAATGACAACAAGATAGCAAAATTAGCAGAGGAGGGCTTTTGAAAAAATAATGGCTGAAAATTTTCCAAACTTGATGAAAACTATAAACACATGGATCCAAGAAACTCAACAAACTCCAAGCAAAGAAATACAAAGTTAACTAAACCAAGATATATCATAATCAAATTGTTCAAAACCAGTGATAAGAGAAAATCTTAAAAGCAGCCAGAAAAAAACCTTATACCTTTATGCACTTCTGTACATTTACCCTGAAAAAACCACTCTGCCTCATCACTTCCAGTTAGGTACATGATAGAAGGGTGATGAATATTCTCTTCACACATCTGTGCTCACACATTCCTTAACTTTATACAGGTTACTGGCTAATAAGGTAGTACTCATATTTATGTTTGATTTATTCTGAGAACTAAAATCTCAAAAATTGCTGTCATATATTAAAAAACAAATAAGAAACAAACATGTTTTACTAGTTTGAGACTAACAGATGATTTCTCATTTGTACCTAATAAAGTAGATTGAGCTGATAATTTTAATAGTCATGGCTGTCTTTAACTTTTATATTCAAATTGCCTGATTATAAAGTTAAACCTCTAATTAAAATGTAAAATTATTTTTAAAAATTTGAAAGTATACACAGGATATTTAGTATAAAAGATTCTCTAAATAGTTTTCTATCTGCTGTCTCATACAATCCTGTTCTTTTCTGTCCTTACTTCTTTGACACATGACAATGAGTATTAATAAACATCTTCAAAGCAGACTAAAAAGGAGGAAGAAAAGAGAAAACACAGAATTCTGTTCATGTGATTAATTTCCCTGGCAGTAATTACAAGTACATAATAATAAAGACAATATCATTTCTCAAAACAAATCCTGAAAGTAGCAAAGTTTGCTATTAGCAACTATGTCTCTTTGAGTTTTATCAGAATCACTTTGAACCCTCTTAGTTCACCTAACTGTTGTCACTGGACCCTGGGTGTCTGCCATTCTCAGTTCAGGTGAAAAATCTTTCCTGTGGCTCTCCTTAGGTGGGTTGGAGGAGGCTAAAACTTTCAAACAGATTTTACTAAATTCTAAGTGAAACAGATAAAGAATGAAAGAAATGTAAAAATATTGGTATTTAGAATACAAGTTGAAGAGAGGTTCAGCCACAAATGGCCTCTTCCCAGGGCTCAAGGGCCCTTGTCATTCAATATGACTTAACCCCAGGAGTGCTTTCATGGATGCCCCAACTTCACGTTGACAGTACTACCACAACCCAGCTTCTAGGAGACATCTTGATATTAGTGTGGAGAAGACTACAGGAAGCAGATTCTTATTAGCAGTATATTTAGGGCTCTCCCTTCCCAATCTGATTCAGAAATCTTTAAAAAGGTGAATGATACTACTGACACCATAAAACCCTCACCCTTGGGGCCGGCCCGGTGGCGCACTGCTATAGTGTGGGCAGGTATTTCCATTTTTCTCACTAGCATATCCCCAGCACCTAGGCCCTGCCTACCACAGAGCCAGCATCCAAATATCAGCAGTTGAAGAAGTCAGCATATCACAACTAAATGAGATTTATGCCCAAGATTAATACCAAAAATCGTATAACTTCGTATAATGTATGCTATACGAAGTTATTACGCGGGGGCGACACTGAGGGTTGTGATCCCGTTGCCGGTCCCGGTCCGGTACGGGGGCGACACTGAGGGTTGCGATCCGTTGCCGGACACGGAAAAAAGACAAAAAAAAAAAAAAAAAAACCCTCACCCTTCAGGTAAGATTCTCATATTTCCTGATAGGAATTGGGTTTATACTTATGGACCTAATGCTATAACCACATCCTAATACAAAATGGAAGAGTAACATTCATATCACAGTATATGCAGATAATTGACAATAAACTTGTTTCATTTTCCTTCCAATACTGAACAAATTATCTACCATCTTACATACCCCAAACAGCTTAAAAAAAAAAAAAACGATAGTGAATTGAAGGGCAACAAATCCCTGGTTTTAGCTGAATGGCCATGGTGCTCGGTTTCTTCCCACTTTCCTGAGGGCCAGCAGAAGGACAGTAGGGCCTTTATCTGACATCAACACTGTTCTGAGGGTCCTCCGTAGTAGGACTTTGACTCTTGGTATGCATACCTCCTAGCACTGTTTCTAGACCTGAAGATCCCTTAATATGTTTACTGTTTACTGAAAATTAAATATTTTCTACCTTTTCTCAGACTAATGCATAAATACAGAAGAAAAACCATGGGCAGGGAGGAAATATTTATCAGTGAAAGGGGCATTCTGAGTTCAAAAGCAATGGGAATCAAGGTTTTACAATGCTTATCAATAAAGCAGGCTTCATCATGGAAGTACAAAATATATTGAAGAAGTAACAGGGTTTTAAAAAATATAGTTGCTTATTTAATACTTGGTAATAGGTTAATAGTTCCTACCTTCACCACTCTCCATGCCTTCTACAAAAATCCCCCCACATTGGGGAAGAATCCAGTAACGGCGTCTATAGCGATCCTGGCCGAACATCATCGAACGCAATGAGTGAGAAGCATCGAAGAGCTTCCTTCTGTACTGACTCTGTTGCTGTTAAAAAATGGTACATGTAATTAAATTATGGATGTTAAGTGCTTCAAAAATTAATATATAAACAACTTTATAATTGTTATGCTTTTAGAGCAGATAAATTTCACTACTGGGAAAAGATAGCAAAAGGGCTAAATATTACATGTCTGACTTCAATTTCAGTAATTTATACAGACAGAAATGATTTCAAGGATAATTGGAATATTTTTGTTGCCACAGATTAAAAGAGATAAATTTCACTACTGGGAAAAGATAGCAAAAGGGCTAAATATTACATGTCTGACTTCAATTTCAGTAACATTTATACAGACAGAAATGATTTCAAGGATAATTGGAATATTTTTGTTGCCACAGATTAAAAGGATAAGTTTTATTTTATCAGGTGTCATATAGTAAAGCATGTCTTATATTTGAAAAACAATGTCATCAAATATTTCATTGAGCCAAGGCAAACTGTCTCAATTCTATTGATTATAGTATATAACAAATAATACTTACATATGTTATTGACCAGACCTGCATTTGCCTATTTTTATACTCATGATGTAAACACAGGCAACACATGACTAAATTTTGGGATAGATCTGTGATAAATCTAACATTGATACAATATGTAGGAATCCCATAATACTTCATTTTTTCTTTTTTAAAAAATTTTACCATTATACAGTGTAAACATTTTTTGTGGTCCTTTACCCATTTCTCCCTTCCCCTTTCCCACTTCTGGTAAAAACTCATTTTTTTCTCACAAAAAGTTCGCCGCTTGGGAAGCACGAACAAAAAGTTCATCTTAAATTTCAGTAATGTTACTGAGAAGTATATACATATATACAGTTTATAAATCACATGCAAATAAATCCCACAAATATGTAAATGTAAAATAAAACCTAAGATGCTGAAACTATTACTATGGAATTCAACCGAATTTTTTGAGTAATTAATTCCAAGAAGTAAAACCATGCCTTTATTGATACTTTGTATTTATATGGAAAATCAAAGAATACAGAACCTTTTCTTCATAGGCTCTGATTAAGTTCAGTATCAGGTCTTAAGAGGAAGGCTTTCAACTTTGGCATTAAACTGTGAAGTTTTAATTGTGAGAATGTTTCTAGGGCTCTTCATTTTGATTATTCACAAAAAGCTTGTTTTTACTTAGCAGTCAGAAAGACTAATTCCATGCAATGCAGATTTTTAAAACTGCAAAAAAGATATAAATGTTATCTGAAAAGCGCTTACTTTACTCAGTTTATCAATCTGTTTTTCAAGCTCTTCAACACTTGCTGCTTGGTCACCTTCATCCTATATATAACAAAACACAGTATTATTTATGTGTTTTTAAGATTTATTTATTCAGTCAACCAGCAAATATTTAATGAAAGCCTCTTATAAGCAAAGTGCTAGGAGAGGCACTGTGGAAACAAATAAGACTCAGTTCTTATTCTGTATAAACTAATAATCTGGTAAGGAGACACAGAAAACATTACATTAAAAAAGAAAAAAACCGAAGAGTAGGAAGCTATAAGGACCTCAAGAGAGGTAGAGATTAGAGAACCACAAAGTCCAGGGGAGGGTGAGATTACTTCTAGTGGGAATCTATACCAAGAGAGGCTATATAGAAATCGTCATGATTTAATCAGCTACCAAAGAATGGTTAGGCATTTATCAATCAGAGAAAACATGACAGGGCGTTCCAGACAGAGTTTGACGAATACTGACATGAAATGTGGGAGAATGAGGCAAGTCAAGTTTATGGCTAGACTGTGAAGAGCTGTAAATGCTTAGCAACGGACAACAAGATTCTTTGAGGGAGGCTAAACATCAGAACTACGCTTTACAAAGATTAATCTGGCAATAGTTATAAAATGACCTGGAACAGAGAAAGGATGAAAATTGGCAAAACTAGCTAGTAGGCTGCTGCAGTGATTCAAGAGGGAGAGATGGGCCTTATCAGGGTAAAAGAAATAAAAAATGGAAAAAAGCAAATGAATGTAAGAAATATCATACAGTTATAAACCATTAAGTCCTGGCAACTCATGGATGTAAGGCAGGGAAGGGCAAGGAAGATGAAGGAAGGAATAAAATATGATGTTAAGGTTTTAAATCTACTAGACTAGAAAAACACTGGTACCATTAACTGAAACAGTCATTTTTAGAATGAAGAAGATAAATTATATTTTGAACATGCTGAGCTTTTAGAATAAAAAATAATCTCCAATATATATAGTACTAATTTTATAAACAGAAGGTTTATACATGGCTATACAAAATTTTCCATTCTATACAATGGAAATAAAAAAACTACCTCCAAATTACATGTTTTATAGGGAAGGCATGAATACATGAGTACATGGGCTTCTTTAGCTGTACTACTTGATACAGGCATATTACCTAATTTTTCTAAGAATATTTCCTTATCTGTAAATTGGTGATAACATCATTTGTAACATGAAATTTTTGTGAGGACTAAATAAGAGCAGATCTGAAAGCAACCAGCTCATTCTTTAATAAAAAGAGGCAGGTACATTTTAGATTTAAAAAAAAATTAGATCTTGTTTCTGATGCTCACTTTCTATAAGCATTTTAAAAAGCCATATTGCCACCAACCATTCCTGAATACGTGTTTCTAGACCAGTATGGCTACCTACCCAACAAAAGGAAGTGAAAAGAAGACCTCAATAGTTTTACCTTTATCTAGCATTTATCCACTCCTTATATCCCAATTTAGGGGACCAAGTTACAAAGGCATTTAGATATATTATTTATGCTAATAATAACACAAATTCTGTTTGGGATTAAAAGAAACCTTAAAAGACTACAGGCTCAATGATCCCTAAATCTTGGCTCTCAAATAGATATTTATATACTGATTCTAAAGTGATCTTTTGATCATCAGGGCAAATATTTGATAATTTGCCTATGGAAAAATACAATACAATCAATAAATTTTTAAAATAAGACATCGAAGCTGCCATGTATCGGCCAAATTAACTCACTGCAATTTTTAAGACTCTTCCTAAGATGATAAAGTAATAAAATGTCTAGTGAAGTTTTATTGAAAGGAGTTCTGGCTAATAGTTCTTATAATTTTCAGAGACATAAAAGAAATTCAAAGACCAGAGAGAGGGGTAACAAAAACAATGACATTATAACTAACAACACAAAATCTACCCCTGGCATGGTTTCCCATGGTTTCCCAACCAAAAATGAAGGCCATTATCTACCCCTACATGTCAGAGTTTAATTGTCCACATAACCTCTTACATGCCAACTTGTGAGGTTAAAGCTCACATAGGTCTCAACACAAATCTAAAAACTGGGAGAAGACTCCTTGTATTCAAAGAATAAAGAGTGAGGAGAGGAGAGAATCATCTTTGAGACAAAGGGCTATAACTTAGTCAAGTGTAGTATCTTTTAATTAAAAGGGATCTTATGGGCCTCAATGGAAAACCTCCTTGCAATTAATCCTTTATGGAATATAACTACTGATACTCTACCTATAACTTAATCAATAGGCCAAACCTCTTTTGGAGAACTAATATACCTATTTTATCAATCAGGTTCATTAAGTAGCCAAAATTTTATTTGTTTAAGAAATTGGTAAGTATCTGCCAGTTCATTATTAAGAATAACTCAAATTACTTAAAAGAAATGTTAATTTGGCTTCTTAGGTCCCCAAATATTTATTTCAAAAAGTTATTAAATTATTTTCTCATATTAGCAACAAGATATACATTTGCCAGTGAAATCCTACAAACCATTTATAATTCAACACTTACAAAAAAGTAAAATACTGCTTTAAATGACAAATCTCTTCTAAGAAACATTAATAATGATTTTCAAATCATCTATATAAAAAGAATAAAATATATGGTTTGTTAATTCTCTGTGTTAAAAAGGAAACCAGGTGAAACAAATAATTTCTATAAATAAATTCCAATTTAGTGGTATAACCAGTAGAATACACTGAAATCCCAATACCTTCAGAGGTAGCTCCTTCATCTTGATTGGACCCCTTTTAGAACCCTGAACCATTAACTATTCTTTTTAATCTTCAATCCCCCCCTCTCAATTTATTGACTCTTTCCCTTCAACCAAAAATCATCTCAAGTCTTTCACATTGAAAAAGTCCTTGGTTCTTTGTCCTCCTCTAGGAACTACCCTTTCTTCTGTCGTGCGATGCTTGAAACAGTCTTTACTTTCTCACTTTCTATCATTATCAATTGATTATAGCCTCGTGTCTGCTCTTACCCCTCTAATGAAACTGGCATTGGTTACCAATGATCTCTGTGTTGCTAAATCCAATAAACACTTTCAATCCTCATCACTGTAGACTTCTGGTGCTTCAACATTGTTTATCACTCCCTCCTTTTTGAAATGTTCAATTTTCTTGATTTCTGTTATTACTACATGTGTAGAAAAGACTTAACATTGCAGGCCTGATTGCTATCCTTTCAAATGTCTGCTTAAAAGGCTGGTCCTTGGCTGGCATATGAGAACTCGGATTTCAGGAGGGTTTCCCCCCAGCCCTAACGGATAAGATTGGCTCCTTGAACCTAAACTATTTGTGCTAACAATGTGATTCATGCCAAACACCTATTTTTCTTTAGAGTCTAGAGTTTCGGCACATGCTATGCAGAGGATGACCAGTCCACAGTAAAAAACCTGGGTGCTAAGCCTCTTGAGCTTTCATGGTAGACAACATTTCACACATGTCAAAACTTGTTGCTGGGGGAATTAAGCCCATCCCGCATGACTCCACTGGGAGAAGACTCTTGAAAACTTGCACTTGGTTTCCTCTGAACTTCACTCCATATGCTCTTTGCTGATTTTGCTTTGTTTCCTTTTACTGTAACAATTCATAGCCATAAGCACAAGTATATGCTGAGTTCTGTGAATCATCCCGGTGTATGGACATGGGGTAGGAAATCTACCTCTCTGATTGTTCCTTATTGAACAAGAAGTCTTGTGGGTTCGTGTTAGAAACTGACGTTCCCTAGAGTTCCAATCTTAGTCCACTATTACATTCACTAAACCAATTGCCCTGTGCAAACTCATCCAGCTCATGATTTTAAACTATCGTCTATGTACTCCCAGATCTATATTTCCAAGACTAAACTCTTCTTCATGCTTCAGCTTTCTAAATCCAACTGACTGTTGAACTTCTGCACAGACACCTCAAACTCAACGTGTTCAAAATGAACCTATCATTTCCTGTCTTTAGTTATCAGTTCCCTTACCTACCCCTACTCCCAATCATCTATTTACTTTGCTCCTCATATCCTTATTTTAGTTAATGGCAACGATAATAGCATGCAGTCTCACAACTCATTGAACTACTACAGTACCACCTGGCTGATTCTTCACACCTGTGATTTTGCCCTACCCTATTTCTATCTTCCACAAAGTGGCCAGAGTGAGCCACTTCAAAATCAAGTCTGACCACGTCCTTCCCCTGCCTATTATAATCCTTCAATGGCTTCCTCTCACTAAAAAAGCAAAACATCCTAGTTCATTATTGTTGCATATAAGACTCTCCAAAACACACTGTGGTTTCATGCTTCTGACAACGCTTTTAAAGGCACTGAGTACTGTACAAGAAAATGCCAAAACTGAATTCAAATCCAAATCCATTTGACTACAAATTCTGTATTATTTTTCAATATGTTATGCAGTTCTAGTTGTTTTAAAACAACCTAAGTTTAATTACCTCATCTTCGCAGATATCGGTCTTCTTTCCTTTTTTGTCTTCTTTATCTTCTTCATCCTCATCATCTTCCTCAGCTTGGTCATCACTATCATCATCATCATCATCATCATCATCATCATCACTGTCTCCTCCCTTCCTTCTTCGCTTCCGTCCTGGAGTGGGTGTGCCCAAGGGATGTTGCTCTTCGCCAAGATCAATGCCACCTGAAGTGTCTCTTTTGCCTATTTTCTTAGCATGAATAATTCTGAGCCTTTAAATATTACAAAAATATGATGAAACGGAATAAAAGACTTTTTAAAGAGCATAATATGAATTTTAAGCAAAAACACCTTATGTTATTTCTCTCAAGGTAAGCAATATATAAATGACAATATAAATTCGAATAAAGGAAATTTAAGAAATACGTTCACATAAATTACAGAATATATTACCGTTAAAGAGTTATTCTGGATATCTCTTTGGAATTAGAACACATTTAAAAAAAAACTATGAAAGCACAAAAGATTAATTCTAACAATGGCCAATGATAATTCCTGATTCAACAGTATCTGACTAAATAAATTTCAATTCAAATTAATGCAAAGAAACTATCCTCAACATAGAAGTTAAGTAATTTTAGCATATTTCTTGGCAGTAAGATAACTAAAATTTTAATGTTGCATAAATTTGGTTAGATTCTATACAAGCAAATTTTAATCAGAAAGCAATTACAAAAAAAAGGGGTAGTTCCAGACATTCTATTTATGACAGGGCTGGCCGGTGGCCCACTTGGGAGAGCATGGTGCTAATAACACCAAGGTCAAGGGTTTGGATCCCTGTACCAGACAACCGCCAAAAAACAAAAATGAAAAACATAACAATATTTATGACAAAAGCCACCTGATAGCAACAACAATCTCAGAAAATGTAATGACTTGTCTTCTCTGAAAGAAAAAAGAGACACTGACTTTTGTCTAAGTTTGCAGCATATAAGATCAATAAATCTCATTATATCTTTTGTCCATTGCAAATTCTGGTCCTGAATTTTATTAATTTCATATCCAATTGAAATTAAACTCTACCTTTTCTTTAGAGAAAATAAAGTTTAAATTCTATCTTTGCAATTCATATACTTTACTAGGAACTTATACAAAAGGAAAACAGTACGTTAATTTTAATAAAACAGAACTTACTTGCGTAGTTGACCTTCTACGACCCATTTATCTCTCCTCAAGTTTGACATATAATCAATGTTCTTGTCGATTTCACTGCCAATGCAAACATTTATTAGAAGACATAAATCCTTTATGCAATGCATTAATTTGCATAACAATGCATTTTGTATGCAAAAATGATACAATTGACCTTGTGTGTGTATACGTATATATACGTGTTTATACATGTATGTACATATATGTTAAAAATTTATTAATTTCTTTAGTGGGTACAACATTGGTATTAGAAAATTCACTGTGGTTTCTACCTTAAGCCAAGAAAGAAACTATCTACTAATTGCCTTAGAAAGACAGCATTCCAAGGTTTGTTGCATATTTAAGTGTGATAATTTTCAAAATCAAATCAGGAAACCAGAATATACATGGATATCTATGTAAGTGCACCTATATACATATATACATAAAATATCTATCTGAGGGTATGTATATAAATGTCCAAACAAAAACTAAGAATATTATATTTGCTCAAGGTAATAAGTCAAACAGTGGTGTGTTTGACCTTCTAAGGTAGAAACCATAGTGTATTGTTTACATTGATTTGTATGTGTGTTTTAACTAAGTGCAGCTCAGCATTACTACCTGTCATCATGGTCATGCTTAATGAGATTATTCTTTCATTGTAAAGCTTAAACATTATCACAGTTTGGGGGATGACTGTCAGTGAATAGCAAAAACAAATGAAAAATTTTATTAATACAGTGTCACAACTAAGATATGTACAGAAAAGTTAAAATGTCTAGCAATGGTAGAAATAAATGCATGGCTCTGAATATTTGGATTGATCCTTTTTTCTAGAAAGGTAAAGGACTAAAAATAACATACTAAATTCTGTAAAATAATGAATAGCAAGGACAAGGTGAACATAAATGTGTTTACGACTCTTGAAATACTAGAGTACTATTATTAGTATCTAGTGTGGCCAACTTATTTTGACTTTTAAGTGAGATTAAGTACTTTTTAAATCAGCAAAAACACTAATAAATTGATAAACTAATAATCTAAGGCTGTTTTAGCATGCAACAAAATAAAAAGTGGCTAGATAATTCTACGAATGGCTACTAAGGAAAATCAGGTGGTTATCTGCCCTTGAAAGATGTCAAGGAAAGAAAAATTTGGGTACTTGTGATGGTGTTGGATTCTGGCACCATCACAAGAAAAAATATTAAAAATTTCTAGTTATATAATAGAATTAACAAAATTATGAAACAAAACAGGTGACAAAGGCTACAGGTTACATATAAACAGAAAGATCCAATTTTTTTCTTTCAATAGACTGCAAAAGAAATACATTAAAACATTGTTAGTATCCGTCTCTGAATGGTGAGATTAAGTGTAATTTCAACTTTTTTCTTTGTGCTAGTCTGTAATTTCTAAATTTTCTATAAGCAATTTCTATTATTCTATGATTAGACAAATTCAAAACAGAAAAGAATCACCAGAAAAGCCTGGGCATATTCTCACCTCACCACACTCTTGCTGCATGCAAGTTCATTGATTAGGAAAGCCAGGGCTGAAGCTTTCTGTGCTGGAGTATGAGCCTGAAAAGCTTTAGTCTTCAGGCTTTCAGTAAGCTCAGTCTGTCCACAGTGCGCTTCCATAAAAATCTGCAAAATCTCGGAAACATTGTCTCTATTCACACCAACGTTCAGCAAATGTTCTCCAAGAGTTGTTTTGGCCTATAAAAGTTTGGCATTTTTATCAGTATTAATCATAATCACTCATAACATAAAAACAGTAAGATTAAAAATATTGGCATATTATATGCTCTAGATATTACTGATAAGGGCTTTATTCAAATTTTTGATGAAGTGGAGATAAAAATAGGCAACAGATGATAGACACATATTCAAGTACTTATATCTTTCTGTTCCCTCTTCAAAGCCTTGGTTTAAAGTCAGGCAGGGAGAAGAATATGTATTCTCATGGGTAGCAGAGGTTTTAAATCATCTTTCAAGACTTCTCTGACTACAGAAACTATTCCAAGCTTTTCCCAGGTTTTATCTAGACATTTTATCAGCAATGATAATCAGGGTGGGGAGGTTCAAAAGCATTTTCATTATGTTTTTTAGCTTTACGGTGTCATAGGTTTTATTGCCTGGCACACTGAATGAACAGGAAAACGGAGAAAAAACTAACAGGTCCACCTGGAAGTTTCTCTCTCTACCACATTATCTAAAACAAAGCTAACTAGAATGTGTATCTTAACTGGAATTAAGATAAATTTGAACTAATTGAGTATCCACAGAACAGCACACAGTCTTTAATGTGCTTGTCTGTAAGTGCCTCAGTTATTCACGGTGATTAAGAGAGAAAAAAGTATAATTTTAAAAGCCACACACAAGTTATAATTGCTTTATAAATTATGAATTCTGTTTTTGATGAATACCACTTGGATATTTCCTTAACTCAACTTGGTCTTTTCCTAAGGCTAGAGGAAAAAAGAGTAACTTGAGAATAGTCTATATTCCTGAAGCTCTATAACCAGGTTTTTCTGTGTTTGTACCACGTGTAACCTGACGTAAATCTACATTTAACTTTGTGAGTCATTATGTGGAAAAAGTTGGATCAGTCTACACAGTCTTCTGCTAATATACTAAAGCTAGCTATCAATGCATTGCTAGTACAGATTTTAAAACTTTTTAATGTTTTTTTTACCTTGTATCCTGTAATTAGACCTGGATCACATACAGCAGCTGAGAGGAGCCTCACAAGCAAGTCTTGTACTTCACCCATGCTGTCCCCTATATTTAGCAATCCCTCTTGAAGAACACTCAGGTTTGGAACATCAATATTCATATCAAAGCCCAAAACTTTACCAAAGTTACGTAAGAACTGCACCACCATGAGACAGTCTGAAAATGTACTTCCAGAGAGAACAAGTCCTGGAATACGAGGCAACTCTGGCAAAGGCTGAAAATAAAATAAATATATAAATAAAATAAAAAAGGACAAATTTTAAAAGCCATGATTTTGTACGTTCTGGAGTAAAATAAGCTATCTTTTTTTTCTCTTGTATTGTGCCCTTTGGATGATAAATTCTGTAGGGGCATTTCTGCAATTCCCATGGTACTAAGCATGGTGTGTTGAAAACAAGTAACCATCAATAAATTTTGGTTGAACTCAATACAAACTTAGATCTCTACAAAAGAGACACTAATTTCAATGAACTTACATATTGATAAAATGTTTTATATAACTGGAGCAAAAATTAAATAGCATAAAAAGTGAACATTTCAAAAGTACTTTACCATGAACATACTTAGTATGGGCATGTGCACTGATTTCTTCTAATGATAGAGACATTTAAAACTCACACTTTTTTGGTAGCTCAAAAACTAATAGCACACATCTGTGGGCTCTTTGGTTGGAGAGAGGTACCATCTATGGCTAATGAATGCAGATAAATTACTAGGTCCACATGACCAGAACTCATAAACCCAGTTACAATGCAACTGAAGGCCTTTAGGTTTCCCTGTACTTAGCAAAACACTAATATGAGTTCCAGTATTAAAAGTAGGATGATGTCTCTATTGCTACTTCCCAAATATTCTCACGTGTCAACATTTTAGTGACTAAATTGTACTGCCAGTTGTCACAGACATTTAAAAAATTCAGTAAATAGGCTATTTAAATTGAAAACATTTTTCCCATGGATAAGACTCAAAATGAAGTATTTTAAATTTAATTGGGAAAAAAGTGACTTACAAATATTTCTATTTATCTGAATTGGTCCTCATTCAAAAATGTTCTTCTACCTTGCACTTACTGAAGTATCCAACCAAAGACTTTTTCTATTAATATTGTGTGGACACTCAGAACTATGGATAATAGCTGATACCATAAAAATCTTTTATGTTCCATTTGAAAACAAGTTAATTCTGATTCTCCCCTTTTCCCTAATCATATAAGATATACACATTTCCATATAATTCTAAAAATTTATGCAACAAAACTAATAAAAGCACGCCTTAAACTTATATGAGGGGTGTTCAAAAGGTTCATGGGAAATGCATATTATGAAAAAACTATGCATGGATTTCAAAGGTTTTTTGCATCAAAATAAACTTGTACTAACTTGTTATAACATGTCTAAACAGAATCTAGCTTGAGGCACTAAGAAATATTTTTAAAAAATCAATTTGAAGAGTCACTATCAGAACAACGTGAATTCTAAAACTGAAGCAAGAAAAAACAACAAATTTATGGTGAAGCCTGGGTGGAAGAATGATGAACTCACTGATGCCTTATGAAAACTTTATGGGGACAATGTCCCAAAGAAATCAGCAGTTTACAAATGGATAACTCATTTTAAGAAGGGATAAGACACTTGGGAAAGCATGGTGCTGATAACAACAAGGTCAAGGTTCGAATCCCCATACTGGTCAGCTGACAAAAAAAAAAAAAAAAGGGATTAGATGATGTTGAAGATGCAGCCCACAGAGACAGACCATACACATCAATTTGCAAGGAAAAAATTAATCTTGTTCATGCCCTAATTGAAGACAATGGATGATCAACAGTAGAAACAATAGCCAACACCACAGACACCTCAATTGGCTCAGCTTACAGAATTCTGACTGAAAAATTAAAGTGCAGCAAACTTTCTACTCAATAGGTGTCAAAACTGTTGTGTCCCGATCAGCTGCAGAAAACAGCAGAGCTTAATCATGAAGCATTTATTTAAAGAATAAATGTAATAGCACCATGACACATGGCTTTACCAGAATGATCCTGAAGACAATGCACAATCAAAGCAATGGCTACCAAGAGGTGGAAGTGGTCCAGTTAAAGTAAAAGCAGACTGATCAAGAACAAAGGTCATGGCAACAGTTTTTTGGGATGCCCAAAATATTTTTATTGTTGACTTTCGGGAGGGCAAAAGAATGATAACATCTGCTTATTATGAGAGTGTTTTGAGAAAGTTAGCTAAAGCTTTAGCAGAAAAACACCCAGGAAAGCTTCACCAGAGAGTCCTTCTCTATCACGACAGTGAGCATTCTAAGCATTTCTCTCATCAATCAAGGGCAATTTTGAGGGAGTTTCAATGGGAAATTATTAGGCATCCACTTTACAGTCCTTATTTGACCCCTTTTAACTTCTTTTTGTTTCTTAAACTTAAAAATCTTTAAAGGGAAAGAAAGAAAGAAAAAGACCACAATAATACACTGAAATTTCAGAAGGAGAGAATGAACCTAAGGATACTAGAGACAGGAATGGGCAGGGGGGAGGTTGGGGAGTGATAGGTTGGGTAGAGGACATGGGGAAAGATTATGATTTATAATGATGAATATCCTAATAATAATAATAAAAAAATCTTTAAAGAGCATCCATTTTTCTTCAGTTAATAATGTAAAAAAGACTGTACTGACATGGTTAAATTCTCAGGACCCTCAGTTATTTAGAGATCGTATCATCATTTATAAAAGTACCTTCAACTTGATGGAGCTTATGTTAAAAAATAACATTTATATTTTTAATTTTTATCTTTTAATTCCATTTTCCATGAATTTTTTGAAGTCCCCTTTATATTTGATATAGTGCATATGGATTTAAATGAAAATAAAATATACAAGAAAATACAGCTTACTTAGGATTAAAAAAACTTGCTCACTATGGGCTTATAAAAGGAATTAACTAATTTATCATTAAGCTCTACTTAGGGATATTTAAACATTCAAATGACTAAAATTAGTAAGTATACTTTCATTTTTATTTAAAAGCATTTATGCTAAGTAAATAAACAGAATATTAATATAATTCAATCCTAACTAGTACTTCAAGCACTTTAGAAAAGAGCTTATATAAGTCAAGAGACAATCATGATTTCTATATCAGATAAATATGGCACATAAGTAAATACAGGTGCTACTGACCAAGTATAGTATATTATGGGACAGTTTTATAGAGGTTACATGCATTTTTGATATAATTTTCAAAAAGTACCATCTTCTTAATTGTAGTAAAAACATAATTGATTTCTACTCAAAAGCATATGAAATCATGCCAGTTGCCAAGATAATTTTGATCTTTCTAAATTTCTACCTTTATGCATTTTAGCAACATTACATTTCTTTGGAGCACTATGGAAGAGAAAACACACATGAGGTGCTTTGGATGGACACAATTTCTTGGCTTTCAGGATGATAAACTACAGACTCAGGAGTTTGACAAACTGGGATTTGAATCCAAGTTGCCATCTACTAGTTGTGTAATCTTGGGCAAGTTCCTTAAACTCTCTGTGTCTCAGTTTTCTTATCTGTAAATGGGGAGAATACCAGCTTCACAGGATTGTGTTTAGGATTAAATGAGAGAATTCATATAAGTGTTTAGTCTAGTGCCTGGTATGTAGTAAACATGCTCAATAAAGGTTAGCTACCATTACTAAGCACTGAAGGTTACAGATTATAAAACCTCGTTTACTTAAATGTCTACAGGGATTTGGGGAGGAGTCACATCTTTCTGTGCCTGAACAGCTGGGAAAGACCAAAAAAACATGGAAATCCTATCTACTTCTATAATACTTCTTTTTGTAGATTTCTTCAGTATTTCTATTTAAATTAAAAAGGTTTGCAGTGTGCTCCACTTATATATCAACAACTGCCATTAACAGCACAGGAGCTCCAGAGATGGTTATTGGCAGGTATCCAGAAGAGGCAAATTGACCTACACTTGGAAATCCATTGCTCTAGATAAAGATGAAAGGCTTTCATAAGGGCAGCTCTAGTGAAGGAATCAGGTAAGAAAACTGGAAAAATTAAACTTATTAATGAAATAGTTTACATGATATAAATTACCTTTTGGTCTGCTAAGCACATGTCTTCATTAGGCTTCTTTAGTTCCTTTGCCATTTCTAATTCTAATCTTCGTTGCTCTAATTTACGCTCTTTATTTAATCTTTTCTCGTCACGTTTTTCTTGCTTCAATCGTTCTTTTTCCTTAAAAAAAAAAAAAATCATGTCCACATATTCTCCTTACATATGTTTACAAAGAGTTAAAATTTAAAAAGTGATCAAAGTGTTATTGTTTCCATGAACGGAATTCTCTTAGGAAGTTTAGGAATAAACTTAGAATTACATAGAAGCAATGACTTATTTTGCTTTTTATTATTTTCACTCATTGAATTTCAAAATAATCTTATGACTGTACAAGGGGTCTTTTAAAAGTGCATGGAAAGATTTGTATTATCTTTAATTTTATTTTCCCACAAACTTTTTGAAGTATTCTTGTATATATTTAATATCAATATTAGATTCTACCCAGACTATTTTATTATTAAAAATTTGTTTAATCCTTTGCCAAGTAATGACAGTAAAATACTTATTAATAAAAGCAGGTATATAAAATTCACATGTCAACTACTTATTTATAAAATAAAGTTAATTAGTATTAAAACAAATTTTTACATGACTCCAGGAAGCAAAAGAGGATTTACAACAGGAAAGTAGAAGCAATATGTTTGAATTTGCAAAAGCAGTTCTTTCAAAGTGAATTAGCTAGTCTTAGGATAGCACCTGTGATGAAATAAAAATATTATTTAACACCATAAACAACACTTAAGGAAATGTAAAATGGGTTCTGAAGACAATTCCAAAAGCACTCAGAAAATGTTTTGGTAATGGCAACAATATGGAAATAACTGTCTTATTTCCTATTAACTGTCTTAACTCTATTGTAGGGAATGGCTTTCTGTCACAAGAAGTTAGGAGATTTTCTATTATAACACCAGTATCATTAGTTTATTGTCATACCTCAAATACAATTTCTCATTTATTTAAAGGAGAAATAACAGTAGAATCATCAGGCAATTCTAACCTACTACTTCACATGCCCTACACACTGCGGATGGGTTTACTTTTGTAAGTCTGATCACACCTTTTCCTTGATTAAAAATCTTTCAATTTTCCATCAGAATAAGGTCCAAATTCTTACTTTTGAATTCCAGACTCTCTTCTTTTCCAACTTTATCTCTCGTTTTTATATTCTCTGTAGATTTAGTCAAACTATTTGCTATTCCTGATGAATACTTGTTTCCTTACTTCCTTATATTGGTTCACTTCAATCAGTACGTTCATTACTCCCATCTTGCATATCTAAATCCTAATTAAACACTACCACCTCCTTCTATTACCCTAATTCTCATAACCCTTAACTATAATTCTGACATAGCACTTACTGCTCCCTGTACTATGTTAGTATTTTTACCCATATCTAACCATCTCCATTTCAGTTACCCCTCGTAAGTAAGCAGCCTCAATGCTGTGGAGACAGAGAGTAGTGGAGAAGGTCATTTAGTCAGAGAGTTGAGAAAGCATGGTGTGTTTTAAACACTTGCTAGAAGTTTCAAGACTGAAGCGTAGGTTGTAGGTTGAGTAGTTGCTAAATATTATGACACGAGAGTCGGCTGCTTCCGTCCTCTCTAGGTCACCAGGACAACCAAACAGCCGTCTTGCTTAAAGGTCCAAAATTAGGTTTCCAGAGAGTTGAGAAAGCATGGTGTGTTTTAAACACTTGCTAGAAGTTTCAAGACTGAAGCGTAGGTTGCAGGTTGAGTAGTTGCTAAATATTATGACACGAGAGTCGGCTGCTTCCATCCTCTCTAGGTCACCAGGACAACCAAACAGCCGTCTTGCTTAAAGGTCCAAAATTAGGTTTAGGTTGCAATCCAAGATAATGTGTTTAAAACCATAAATAAATGTAAATATATAGTTCTGGCGTCGGATCCCGTGGGGAAACTGCCGCGCCCGATCTCCGCCAACAGGCTGTAGCGCGGTCACACCGACCCGCCGCTGCCCTCCGGCTGCCGCAGCGCCAGACCACGATCACCGAGCACCCTCCGGCTGGAGCCAGTGCGGCTGCAGCATCCAGAGCCCGTGGGGGCTGTGGACCAGCTCGTGGGGCAGCTACAGGTAGTGCGAGTGGGGCCAGACGCGCGCAGCCTGCCTGCCCGCCCGCCCGGCGACCCGCAAGAGACTTGTGGAGAGGAGCAGCCATCTATTCTCTTTCTCCGTGGCAAAAGTGTGGAGCTGCTCCGGCTTGGCCCACGGGGGAGCCCCGGGAGCCGCAGGATTTCTCTATGACATTCATTTTGTGCCCTGAAACCAGAGTCTTCCCTTTGCTCAACACTACAGTGGAGGTCATGATGGCCGAAGAGGAGAGCTGCCTGCCGCTTTTCCACCACGAGTAGAAGCAGCCTCAGCGCCAGATGCAGCTGTACCAGAATCAGAGCAAAGGAATGCTTCGAAAGGGTGTCCTTAGCCTGCCGAGAACCGGGAATCTTCCCCCAACCCACGTGCGCGACCCGCCCTCGTCACAGACGCAGTCGCAGATGTGGAAACATGGAGGCCTGAGCCGGCGTGTCACCCCAGGCTGCAGCGGTGACCGCAGCTTCTGATCCCCCACCCCCACCCACCCGTCCCTGGGGCTGGAAGTGAATCAACCCGCCACCGAGACAGGGAGACGTCCAGTGGGAGAGACAGAAGCTCCGGTGGAGTCCACACGCCCTGTGGGGCCGCCACTGTGTGATCCAACAGGTAGGCATCACCGCGGCCACCTGGCTTCATTCCCAGCCCAGCCCAGTACACACAGAGCGGGGAGACGTCTGGCAGGGGAGGCGGGAACCCCACAGAGTCCACGCTGCTGCTGCTCAATCTAGCAGCCTGGCACAATGTGTACGGAGCACAGAGTCATCCAGCAAGGGAGATAGAAGCTTCGTAAAGTCCACACACCCTGTGGGGGGGCCGCTGCCGCGTGATCCAGCAGCAGGTAGGCTTCACCGCAGCCACCTGGCTCCATCCCAAGCCTGCTTAACGTGCACAGAGCAGGGAGACATCCTGCAGGAGAAGGGGAAGGTCTGCAGGGCCCATACACTCTGCAGTGCCTGGGTGCATACAAGCAGCCCGGGCCAGAGCCCACGGAACAGGGAGTCACTGAGGTAGCCATACCAAATTGGCAACCACAGCAACATCTTAGTCAGTCATTGGTGTCAAACCTGTGGACTGTGAAACGCCCTGCCACAATGAATAAACATCAAAGAAAAGATACCAGAAATACGAAAAATCAAGAAAGTACACCACCAAAAGATAATAAATCTCAAGCTCTAGATCCTATAGAACAAGAAGCCCTTGAAATGACTGACAAGGAATTTCGAGTGATAATTCTAAGGAAACTGAATGAGATACAAGAAAACTCAGCTAGACATCATGACGAAACGAGGAAAAGTATACAGGACCTGAAAGAGGAAATGTACAAGTGTACAAGGAAATCAATGCCCTGAAAAAAAATGTAGCAGAACTTGCCGAACTGAAGAAGTTATTCAGCGAAATAAAAAAACACAACGGAGAGTTTAACCAGCAGGTTTGCAGAAGTTGAAGAGAGAACCTCTGAACTTGAAAATGGGCTGTTTGAAATAACACAAGCAGACAAAAAAAAAAAAAAAAAAAAAAAAAAAAA